AACTTCAAGCATTCCTTGTGAAGAAAGAGAGTCTGGAGTTTTCTGGAATAAAAGAAACTCTGAACTGAGTCAATATTTCCCTGGCCAGTGGAATGGGGAAACTGAGATAGCTGAACAAACTGGCTGAGCAATTCACAGCCAGATACGGAAAGTCACCCACTTAGACATAAAATCTAGGCCTCAGTTGTATTGCAGCTCCAGGCCCAGAAAAGCAGCAAAACCAGGTGGGCAATGCCAGGACCAGGAGCGATGACTGAGGACCCCCTGCCCTGGCACTGACCAATCAGTAGAGAACATGACTTTAAAAGAACACACCTGGAAAACGGATGAATATTCTGCTGAAACCTTCCCTTGAGGCCTCCCCTATGACTCCCAAGAGAAAGAGATAAAAGCCTTAAGACAACCCTAGCTGGTTTGGCTCAGTGGATAGAGCACATGGGCCCTGGTTAGGGGTGCATGCAGGAGGCAACCAATCGATGTGTCTCTCTCACATCGATGTTTCTCTATCTTTGTCTCTTTACCTCCCTTCCATTCTCTCTAAAAATCAATGGACAAATATTCTCAGGTGAGGATTAATTTTTTAAAAAAATGCTCAAGACAAAAGACCCAGGGTGAGCTCTCCCTTAGAGGAGCATGTCATGCCATTCCCTTCCTTCTCCTCTTCCCCCATTTAAACTCTAAGTGACCCTAGGAGACTTGCAACCAGGGGAGCAATGGACAGTGGCAATACGTCCCAGGCTAACCCCCTGAACTTGTCTCCAAGGCCCCCTTTTCTCCTACTTGCCAGTGAGCTAAGGCAGCCCAGCCTGGGCTCTCCTGCTGCTGCTTCGATCCTATGTCCTTCATTGTTTCACTGTTCCCAGCTTTAATAAACCTACCCTCATAGTCACTTGGACTCATATTGTGAAATCTTCCCTCCACGAAGTCAAGAACTCACACACTACCCGCCCTGCCTGGGCAGACCTGCTCAGGACCGGGTCCCCAGTCCAGCCATGAAGAACTTTAAATAGGCAATAAGTACATGAGCAACAATCAACTTTATTAGTAATAAAATGCAAAATAAGAGCACATTGCTTTTCTAACAAAATTTTTAAACATTGAAAAAAAGAAAATGATGGAGTGAAAAGGCTGGCAAGAATGAAAATTATTAGAAGCTTCCTAAAGGGCAATTTGAAAAAAAGAATCTGGAAGCTTTAACAATATCCATGCTGAATGACCTGATAACTTCTCTCTTAGGGATTTTCCTTAAGAAAATTATCAGAGACAAGCACAGATTTATGTACAAGGAAGTAGTGGTGAGTAGGGAAACATTGGTAATAACCTAAATATTCATTATAAGAGAAATAGGTAAATCAAAAACAGTGAAATACTATCTTGCTATTTAAACATCTTGCTATTGAAGACTTTATGTAGAGAAATGCATACCTTCTAATTGAAAAAAAAATAGCAGTATTCTAAACAAAAGATAACATATCAATTTGTTAATGAAAAATACAGTGTGTATGCCAAAAAAGACTAGAAGTTTACAGCACTGTTAAGAACAACTATTTTTTCTGGAAATAATTTGAATTATGGGGGATTAAACTGTCATTAAAAAAAAAAATCCTCACCCAAGGATATGCTTATTGATTTGTTTAGAGAGAGAGCAAGGGGGAGAGAGAGAGAGAGGCAGGCATTGATGTAGAAAACATTAATCAGCTGACTCCCATACACAGCCCAACCAGAGATCGAACCCGCAACCTAGGTATGTGCCTTGACTGGGAATTGAACTCATAACCTTTTGGTGCACTTGACGATGCTCCAACCAACTGAGTAACCCAGCCAGGACCAACTGTCTTCATTTAAAGATGTTTTATGAACATGTAAACTGTCTTTGCTTACCGTTGTGTTTCTAATGCCTGTCACATACTATAAACTAAGAATGAAACTCAAAAAACAGGAGCTAGATTATTATTAAATCAATGAACATATCCTTAGGTGGGGATGGAAAAACAAACACTCACATCTGTAATTCTTCCATACTAAGAAACTGAGCATGTTAAAAAAACCCCCAAAAAACAATACACAGCAACAACAAAACAACAATAACTCAGGATACTAAAGTGATTAAGGCCTGACTTTGTCCAAGGCCTCAAAAAAGACATACAGTGAACCCTAGCTGGTTTGGCCCAGTGGATAGTGTTGGCCTGCATACCAAAGGGTCCTGGGTTCAATTCTGGTCAAGGGTACGTACCTGGGTTGTAGGCTCCTCCCTGGCCCAGGCCCTGGTAGGGGCCTTGTGCAGGAGGCAACCAATCGATGTGTTTCTCTTACATTGCTGTTTCTATCTTTCCCTCTTTGTTCCACTCTCCCTAAAAATCAATGGAAAAATATCCTTGGGTGAGGATTAACAAAAAAAGACATACAGTGAAAATATAAGTAGGGTTTTTCACATGGATTATCAAATTAAACATTTTCTAAACTAACACTGACTATTATCTGAGCCTGGAATGCTTCAGCAAAGTTATGCAATACAAGTAGAGCTCTACTGAACACAACTTTAAAAGGCTATTTACTTTAACTGATAGAGGTTGTCGCTACACACAAACGGTAACCCACCCTACCATTCTTTTAACATTGTTTCTTAAATGATGACGTGTAAATTCAGAGGTGGCCACTGATAAACTGCCTGTTTGCTTAAGGAT